AGGCTGGCCCGGCTCCCCGTTGGTGAGTGGACAGGGCCCTGTGGATTCTGTTGTCGCTGACAGTGACTAGAGCTGCCGGGAGCGTCACCTTGTCCCAGGCATTGTGAGACGGGCTTTAGATACAAAGATCAAATTATAAAGCCACCCCCACGCGAGGCCTGGGCACCTGCTTGAGAGCGGGTGCAGCTGCGCTGGAGGGCTTCGCGGCCCCTCGTGCCGCGGCCTGCGTCACGGCCATCGCTCTGCCCTCTGCGTCTCTGTGACGCCCTTTCTCGTCTAGCGAGGGCATCGGGCAGACAAGCAGCGGCGCACGTGGCGAGAGGGCGGAGCTGCTGAGCCTGGTGCGCTGAGCCTGTCAGGCCTGGGCGGTGCGATGCCAGAAGCAGTGGGAGGACCGGCCCAGGTGAAATCTTCGAACATGGTGGCCCTGGGTCCGTCTCGTTAGCTTCATCACCTCTTCCTCTCTCCAGTGTATTTTTCAGAAGGACCTTTCCTAAATTACTCTATAAATGTTAGCTTAATCCACATCCCCCCTCCTAATGCCCCCATTTCACAGATGAGGACACTGAGGCACAGCGCGATTAAGTACTTTGTTCAAGGTCACACAGCTACAGGTGACAAGCTGGGATTCAGACCTAACAGTTGGGCCCCAGGCCCCGCCCTGTGTTGCCGCTTCCTTTTCTCATTGTCCGTTCGTTCACCCACTGATGCTATTGTGTGTTCAGTTCGTGCCAGTGCGTAGCTGCTGTTGGGTCAGCAAAGCGCTGGACAGGGCTGTGGGCCAGCTGTGACGGGCTGGGGGAGAAGTTTAAACCTACGGGCACTGGCCACAGCCAGGATTGCATGTGACGCTGACGGCCTCCTCCCTGCAGATGTGGGGTGTGCACTGTGGCGAGGTGCTGGCGGGAAGGGAAGAGAATTAGAGGGATTTCTTAATACTCTCTTTTCACGTAGAACATTGTTCCCGAGCATCCTGGGTAATCAGCTGGTTCAGACCGGCCCATTCTCTCCTGTCGGATTCCAGGGAGCCAGCTCTGAGTTGACCGAGCGAGCGGGCTGACCGAGGGCTCTGGGAAGTTCCCGCGTGCCTGCAGGCTAACTGCTTTCCCTGCATCTTTCAGGTGCTGACCAGTACAGATACGGCAAGAACAGGGTGGAAGCAGATGCCAGGCGGCTGCAGACCAAGGAAGAGGAGCTGCTGCGGCGGAAGGAAGCCCTGCGAACCAGGCTGGCCCAGCTCCGGAAGGAAAGGAGGGACCTGCGGGCCGCCATCGAGGCGAACGCTGGTAGGAGGGCGCCCGTCCGGGAGGGTCTGCCTCCCTCTGTCTGCCACAGGCCTCACTCATCAGCTCGCGGCTAAGATCCAGCTTGTGTCCCACACTGCGTCCCGGGGGTCTAGAGGCACTGCCCAGGGCAGGTGGCGGGTGCGGGAGTCCCAGGACAGGCAAGGGGGACAGGTGCTCAGTGCGGGAGTCCCGGGACAGGCAGGGGGGACAGGTGCTCGGTGCGGGAGTCCCGGGACAGGCAGGGGGGATGGGTGCCGGGGGCGGGAGTCCCGGGACAGGCAGGGGGGATGGGTGCCGGGGGCGGGAGTCCCGGGACAGGCAGGGGGGATGGGTGCCGGGGGCGGGAGTCCCGGGACAGGCAGGGGGGATGGGTGCCGGGGGCGGGAGTCCCGGGACAGGCAGGGGGGATGGGTGCCGGGGGCGGGAGTCCCGGGACAGGCAGGGGGGATGGGTGCCGGGGGCGGGAGTCCCGGGACAGGCAGGGGGGATGGGTGCCGGGGGCGGGAGTCCCGGGACAGGCAGGGGGGATGGGTGCCGGGGGCGGGAGTCCCGGGACAGGCAGGGGGGATGGGTGCCGGGGGCGGGAGTCCCGGGACAGGCAGGGGGGATGGGTGCCGGGGGCGGGAGTCCCGGGACAGGCAGGGGGGATGGGTGCCGGGGGCGGGAGTCCCGGGACAGGCAGGGGGGATGGGTGCCGGGGGCGGGAGTCCCGGGACAGGCAGGGGGGATGGGTGCCGGGGGCGGGAGTCCCGGGACAGGCAGGGGGGATGGGTGCCGGGGGCGGGAGTCCCGGGACAGGCAGGGGGGATGGGTGCCGGGGGCGGGAGTCCCGGGACAGGCAGGGGGGATGGGTGCCGGGGGCGGGAGTCCCGGGACAGGCAGGGGGGATGGGTGCCGGGGGCGGGAGTCCCGGGACAGGCAGGGGGGATGGGTGCCGGGGGCGGGAGTCCCGGGACAGGCAGGGGGGATGGGTGCCGGGGGCGGGAGTCCCGGGACAGGCAGGGGGGATGGGTGCCGGGGGCGGGAGTCCCGGGACAGGCAGGGGGGATGGGTGCCGGGGGCGGGAGTCCCGGGACAGGCAGGGGGGATGGGTGCCGGGGGCGGGAGTCCCGGGACAGGCAGGGGGGATGGGTGCCGGGGGCGGGAGTCCCGGGACAGGCAGGGGGGATGGGTGCCGGGGGCGGGAGTCCCGGGACAGGCAGGGGGGATGGGTGCCGGGGGCGGGAGTCCCGGGACAGGCAGGGGGGATGGGTGCCGGGGGCGGGAGTCCCGGGACAGGCAGGGGGGATGGGTGCCGGGGGCGGGAGTCCCGGGACAGGCAGGGGGGATGGGTGCCGGGGGCGGGAGTCCCGGGACAGGCAGGGGGGATGGGTGCCGGGGGCGGGAGTCCCGGGACAGGCAGGGGGGATGGGTGCCGGGGGCGGGAGTCCCGGGACAGGCAGGGGGGATGGGTGCCGGGGGCGGGAGTCCCGGGACAGGCAGGGGGGATGGGTGCCGGGGGCGGGAGTCCCGGGACAGGCAGGGGGGATGGGTGCCGGGGGCGGGAGTCCCGGGACAGGCAGGGGGGATGGGTGCCGGGGGCGGGAGTCCCGGGACAGGCAGGGGGGATGGGTGCCGGGGGCGGGAGTCCCGGGACAGGCAGGGGGGATGGGTGCCGGGGGCGGGAGTCCCGGGACAGGCAGGGGGGATGGGTGCCGGGGGCGGGAGTCCCGGGACAGGCAGGGGGGATGGGTGCCGGGGGCGGGAGTCCCGGGACAGGCAGGGGGGATGGGTGCCGGGGGCGGGAGTCCCGGGACAGGCAGGGGGGATGGGTGCCGGGGGCGGGAGTCCCGGGACAGGCAGGGGGGATGGGTGCCGGGGGCGGGAGTCCCGGGACAGGCAGGGGGGATGGGTGCCGGGGGCGGGAGTCCCGGGACAGGCAGGGGGGATGGGTGCCGGGGGCGGGAGTCCCGGGACAGGCAGGGGGGATGGGTGCCGGGGGCGGGAGTCCCGGGACAGGCAGGGGGGATGGGTGCCGGGGGCGGGAGTCCCGGGACAGGCAGGGGGGATGGGTGCCGGGGGCGGGAGTCCCGGGACAGGCAGGGGGGATGGGTGCCGGGGGCGGGAGTCCCGGGACAGGCAGGGGGGATGGGTGCCGGGGGCGGGAGTCCCGGGACAGGCAGGGGGGATGGGTGCCGGGGGCGGGAGTCCCGGGACAGGCAGGGGGGATGGGTGCCGGGGGCGGGAGTCCCGGGACAGGCAGGGGGGATGGGTGCCGGGGGCGGGAGTCCCGGGACAGGCAGGGGGGATGGGTGCCGGGGGCGGGAGTCCCGGGACAGGCAGGGGGGATGGGTGCCGGGGGCGGGAGTCCCGGGACAGGCAGGGGGGATGGGTGCCGGGGGCGGGAGTCCCGGGACAGGCAGGGGGGATGGGTGCCGGGGGCGGGAGTCCCGGGACAGGCAGGGGGGATGGGTGCCGGGGGCGGGAGTCCCGGGACAGGCAGGGGGGATGGGTGCCGGGGGCGGGAGTCCCGGGACAGGCAGGGGGGATGGGTGCCGGGGGCGGGAGTCCCGGGACAGGCAGGGGGGATGGGTGCCGGGGGCGGGAGTCCCGGGACAGGCAGGGGGGATGGGTGCCGGGGGCGGGAGTCCCGGGACAGGCAGGGGGGATGGGTGCCGGGGGCGGGAGTCCCGGGACAGGCAGGGGGGATGGGTGCCGGGGGCGGGAGTCCCGGGACAGGCAGGGGGGATGGGTGCCGGGGGCGGGAGTCCCGGGACAGGCAGGGGGGATGGGTGCCGGGGGCGGGAGTCCCGGGACAGGCAGGGGGGATGGGTGCCGGGGGCGGGAGTCCCGGGACAGGCAGGGGGGATGGGTGCCGGGGGCGGGAGTCCCGGGACAGGCAGGGGGGATGGGTGCCGGGGGCGGGAGTCCCGGGACAGGCAGGGGGGATGGGTGCCGGGGGCGGGAGTCCCGGGACAGGCAGGGGGGATGGGTGCCGGGGGCGGGAGTCCCGGGACAGGCAGGGGGGATGGGTGCCGGGGGCGGGAGTCCCGGGACAGGCAGGGGGGATGGGTGCCGGGGGCGGGAGTCCCGGGACAGGCAGGGGGGATGGGTGCCGGGGGCGGGAGTCCCGGGACAGGCAGGGGGGATGGGTGCCGGGGGCGGGAGTCCCGGGACAGGCAGGGGGGATGGGTGCCGGGGGCGGGAGTCCCGGGACAGGCAGGGGGGATGGGTGCCGGGGGCGGGAGTCCCGGGACAGGCAGGGGGGATGGGTGCCGGGGGCGGGAGTCCCGGGACAGGCAGGGGGGATGGGTGCCGGGGGCGGGAGTCCCGGGACAGGCAGGGGGGATGGGTGCCGGGGGCGGGAGTCCCGGGACAGGCAGGGGGGATGGGTGCCGGGGGCGGGAGTCCCGGGACAGGCAGGGGGGATGGGTGCCGGGGGCGGGAGTCCCGGGACAGGCAGGGGGGATGGGTGCCGGGGGCGGGAGTCCCGGGACAGGCAGGGGGGATGGGTGCCGGGGGCGGGAGTCCCGGGACAGGCAGGGGGGATGGGTGCCGGGGGCGGGAGTCCCGGGACAGGCAGGGGGGATGGGTGCCGGGGGCGGGAGTCCCGGGACAGGCAGGGGGGATGGGTGCCGGGGGCGGGAGTCCCGGGACAGGCAGGGGGGATGGGTGCCGGGGGCGGGAGTCCCGGGACAGGCAGGGGGGATGGGTGCCGGGGGCGGGAGTCCCGGGACAGGCAGGGGGGATGGGTGCCGGGGGCGGGAGTCCCGGGACAGGCAGGGGGGATGGGTGCCGGGGGCGGGAGTCCCGGGACAGGCAGGGGGGATGGGTGCCGGGGGCGGGAGTCCCGGGACAGGCAGGGGGGATGGGTGCCGGGGGCGGGAGTCCCGGGACAGGCAGGGGGGATGGGTGCCGGGGGCGGGAGTCCCGGGACAGGCAGGGGGGATGGGTGCCGGGGGCGGGAGTCCCGGGACAGGCAGGGGGGATGGGTGCCGGGGGCGGGAGTCCCGGGACAGGCAGGGGGGATGGGTGCCGGGGGCGGGAGTCCCGGGACAGGCAGGGGGGATGGGTGCCGGGGGCGGGAGTCCCGGGACAGGCAGGGGGGATGGGTGCCGGGGGCGGGAGTCCCGGGACAGGCAGGGGGGATGGGTGCCGGGGGCGGGAGTCCCGGGACAGGCAGGGGGGATGGGTGCCGGGGGCGGGAGTCCCGGGACAGGCAGGGGGGATGGGTGCCGGGGGCGGGAGTCCCGGGACAGGCAGGGGGGATGGGTGCCGGGGGCGGGAGTCCCGGGACAGGCAGGGGGGATGGGTGCCGGGGGCGGGAGTCCCGGGACAGGCAGGGGGGATGGGTGCCGGGGGCGGGAGTCCCGGGACAGGCAGGGGGGATGGGTGCCGGGGGCGGGAGTCCCGGGACAGGCAGGGGGGATGGGTGCCGGGGGCGGGAGTCCCGGGACAGGCAGGGGGGATGGGTGCCGGGGGCGGGAGTCCCGGGACAGGCAGGGGGGATGGGTGCCGGGGGCGGGAGTCCCGGGACAGGCAGGGGGGATGGGTGCCGGGGGCGGGAGTCCCGGGACAGGCAGGGGGGATGGGTGCCGGGGGCGGGAGTCCCGGGACAGGCAGGGGGGATGGGTGCCGGGTGCGGGAGTCCCGGGACAGGCAGAGGGGACAGGTGCTCGGGTGCGGGAGTCCCGGGACACGCAGGGGGGATGGGTGCCAGGTGCGAGAGTCCCGGGACAGGCAGGGGGGACAGGTGCTCGGGTGTGGGAGTCCCGGGACAGGCAGGGGGGATAAGTGCCGGGTGTGGGAGTCCCGGGACAGGCATGGGGGATGGGTGCCGGGTGTGGGAGTCCCGGGACAGGCATGGGGGATGGGTGCCGGGTGTGGGAGTCCCGGGACAGGCATGGGGGATGGGTGCCGGGTGTGGGAGTCCCGGGACAGGCATGGGGGATGGGTGCCGGGTGTGGGAGTCCCGGGACAGGCATGGGGGATGGGTGCCGGGTGTGGGAGTCCCGGGACAG